CCTCCATGCACCGCGGGCGCCCCGGGCGTTTCTGGTTGGGACCCGTGCGAAGCTTCTGAGGCGAGAACTCCAGATCCCGTTTGGCCAGGCCGTGCCGCAGCCTATCTGGGCGCCCTGGCACCCCCTCAAAACTCAGCAAGGCCCACCCCCCCACTCGGAACCTCTAATCATACTTGCGAGCCGTAGGCGTCGACGCTGGCCCTGCCCCGCACTCGCGCGAGGTGGGACTCGCAAGGGCGGCGCGGGGGGGAGGGGGGGCGGAGCTAACTTGGGCCTGCGGGAGCGCGCGTCGGCCCCAGACTCAGACGACCAGAGAACCTGTTACATGCCCCGCCGTCGCATCTTCCTCAGCTGCCTACTCCTCCTCGTCGTCCTGTTGTGCCCTGCTCCACCTGCTCATCCCCCCCATCCTCCTCCTCCTCTTCCTCCCCCCCCTCCTTTCCCTCCTCTTCCCCCCCCTCCCCCCCTCCCCCTCGTCCCACTCCTCCTCCGCCTGCCCCCCCCTCATCCCCCCCCCCCCCCCCCCCCTCCTCCTCATCCTCCTCCGCCCTTTCCTCGCGCCCTCTCCCCTCGCCGCTTCTACGCGTGCAAGGCTCGTCCATCCAGGAACCCCACGCGAGATCAATCAGGGCGGCCAGACCAGCCAGACCAAGCACAGATTAACGGGCCAAGCCATTCAGTGAAGCCAGACCACCCGTACCCGCCAGACCAACCAAGCCAGACCAGCCATACCAAACATTTTGTTCTCGCCTGCCAGGTGGCGGCGGCGAGGGGTCGTGTTTTTTTTTTTTTTTTTTTTTTTGGGGGGGGGGGGGCAGCCGGACAGACCAGCCAGGCCAAGCACTCTAGCCAGACCAATCCGACCAACCAGACCTGCCACGCCAGCCGTGCCAACCACTCCAACCAGACCAGATCGGATGTCCAGACCAGCCATGCCAGACCAGGCATGCCAGGGACGCCGAGGTCGACCAGGCCAGTCAGATCGATCAGAACAGCCAGGCCAGCCAAGCCAGACGAGCCAGGCCATTCAGACAGCGGCGGCGCTGGCGAGGTGCAGGGGGAGGGGGGGAGGTGACCGAGGGGCAGGGGGTGAGCAACAGGAGAGGGACGAAGGATGACGGTGATGATGGCAATGGCTTGAAAGTTCTGCATGCGACGATCGGTGCGATGACGCGTTGACGATGGTTTTTTGCTTTTCGGGAGGCGTCGTGAGGAGGCCTCGAATGTAGCGTGGCTGCGCACGTATGTGCCTGCGCCCATCTAGAGAAGCAGCTCGATAAGAGGCGCCAGATACCTTAACAAAATTACTCCTGACAAGCAAATGCTGCGATAGAGTGACAGATCCAACAACGAAGCAACAGTGCTGACATGCAGTCGGTGGCGTTCTGGCGCGAGGAGCGCTGGGCGAGCAAACGGAGCGATGGGCGCTGGCGATGGCTGGCGCACCTACGCCCCCTCGTTGGGCGCAACCCCGGCGGGCAGCGGAGGCGGCACCTCAGCAGCCACAGGCGGCGGGCCCGAAGGAGCGCTGGCCACCCCCTCTGCCGTCGCCGCAGGGGGCGCGCCGACTGGTGCCACACCGCTGGCCGCTGAACCAGCTGAAGTCGGAGCAGCCGCCGACGACTGAAGGAGGCCCTGGTAGGCGCGCGCGGCGTCGGGGTACTCGAAGCCCGCGCTGGTCTGAGTAAGGCCGTGGTTCGGCCTAGACTTGATGAGGCACTTGCACAGGTTCTGGGCCCAGCCAGACTCCTCGTGGTACAGCAAGGCTTCGGTCAGAAGGTGGTTGTGCATGATGGTGAGGCCGCCGACCTTCGGCGCCATGAAGGCGACGTCGTACCCCAGGTCGATGCGCACGTCGTCTCCGAGCTTGGGAACGGCAACCACCGTCGGGTCGCTCAGCACGATCGCGTAGAAGCCGAAGTTGCGGTAGTTCGCATACGTGAGGCCCTCCAAGAGGTTGCCGTTCGCGCGGTAACGCGCCATCAGCACGGCGATCAACGGCCCCTCGTACCCCGAGCAGTCGTAGTCAATTGGCACTGGAAAGTCATCGAAGACGTTCATTGCGTATTTGCAGAGGTTGGCTGTTTGCTTGTCGGTCATTGTCGTGTACTCGCTGCCGTCGTCAGGGTAAAAATCGCCCATGCAGTCGATGCCCATGAACTTGCAGAACAGTTCTTTCCAGAAGCGAGGGGAGAAATTCTTCATCTTCTTGACGCGGCTGCCCAACTTCAGCCCAAGCGTCTGGGACAAAGAGGCAGACCTGCGCCTCTCAAGGGCCTTGGTGATCTCGCCGTCGCGGATCGTGCCCGCGATGATGGGGCAGATCCGCGGGTTGGCGTCAAGCTCCCTGACGATGTATGCCCTGTCCGCCTGCTCCGCATTGAGGAGGAGCGCGTCGACTCCCTGGCTCACTTGAGTCGAGCGCACCTTGCGCTTTTTCTCGGGCCTCTCCGTGGACAGTGCCATCGCAGCAACGCGGCAGGCTGATTCAGAAAGGGAACAATGGAAAACCGAGGGCGCAACAAGCGTGGATAACAAATTTGAGCCAAAACGGCCACGTACGGATGTGAAACTTCGGGGGGGGGGGGGGGACAAATGCGGGGGCACGGGGGGGGGGCGACCCTCCCGCGACGCAATCTGCTGCCCTCCCCTCCCCCTCGATTGCAAACGAGGTTGTGCCCGAAACTGGGCTCTTGGCCCCGCCCGCTGTGCCGTGCCGCCCCCCTGCTGGCGGGCTGCGCAGTTCTAAAGGTGACAAAAACCCTTCCTTGGAGGATGCCAGCAACGACGACGATGACACTCATATGTGAGGCTTCAGGAGTGCACGAGGGGAGCAAGATGAGGACACTAGACGTACACGGCGGACGAAGGGAAGACATGGAGAACAGACGGCAGCATGGGGCTGGCGAGAAGATGAGGGCGCGAGTTGGTGAGAAGGGCAAGGGCGAGAGTGTGAGGGTCGTTGTTGTTCTGCTGCGAACACTCAACCACCGTGGCTGGCGAGGCGGCAACGTCGAGGAAAAAATAGTCACCCAGGGGGCGCCGCACCCAACATGTACCTTTATGTTCCTCTGACTTCCTGTCCTCTTCAAAAAGAACCCCTTCTCCCCTTCGGGGAAGGGTTTATCACTGTACACCCCCTCCCCCACCCTGCCGGCGGTCAACCCGGAACCATGCCGACTCCATGCGGGCCCGCCCCCCGCCATCCCTGTCAAAATACCAAATTTAAAGCGTGCGCGGCCAACCCGATGCGGCCCCTCCACCACCCCTGTCAACACACAGTGCAAAGTACACTTTGGGCCAAAGTCTTGAGTCATGTTCGTGAGGCCCGCGAGCACTTGTTTGGACAGGAACGGCGGGGGTGTCAGCAGATTCCCTGCCGCGCGCAGGGCTACCCCACCTCTGACAAACAACAAAGCGACATGCACCTCGCAGCTAACTCTGGATCATGCACGGCCATCCCGTGATCACTGTCAAGTGGTTTTTGACAGGGACGGCGGGGGTGGTGGCGCATGGCCTGCTGTGCGCAGGCCCACCAGACACAATGATCGGCGTCAGTTTTCGACAAGGATGGCGGGGGCCGACATGTTTCCCGATGTGTGCTGTCATATGCGCAGGTTCACCGGACGCACTCTGCACGTGCCCCGAACGTGGCGCACCTGGCGCGGCTGGAGTGTGCGGCACACCTGGCGCACTCGGAGCACGTGGCGCATCTGGCGCACCAGGCGTGCCTGGCACGCTCGGGCCCCAGGGGTGCCTGGCGCGCGTGGCACCCCTGGCCCGCGTGGCGCACCTCACCCCAGCGTCGCGCACCTCGGGTCCGATTTTGGTTCCCAGTAGCTGCCCATCGAAAGACGACCGCTGAACATGCTCAGACTCGGGTGAAACTTATGGTTTGAGAGGGCGGGTGGGAGTGAGCTAGCAGGCGGTCAGGGCGTCCAAGATGGCCCAATATGGCCCCAAGAGGGCCTCAGAGAGCCCAAGATGGACTCCAAGGTCGCTCAAGATAGCCCAACATGGCTCAAGATAGCTAACAAAATGCCTCCGAGAGGCCCCGAGAAGTCCACAAGACGGAACCAAATGACCCCTCAGGACCTCCCCGAGACGCCAAAATCCTTCAAACACCTAGTGAAAACCACTGAGTTGTGCCTTCTCGCCTTTTCGCTTCCGCTGCGCTCTTGAAGCCTCAAGGTGGCCCAAGAGAGCCCTAAGAAGGGCCCAGGAGGCCCCCAAGTCGGCCCCAAGAGCGCCCAAGATCGCCCCCAGAGGGCCCAAAGAACGCCCCAATAGACTATTTTGATGGCCCCAGAGGAAGACCAAACGTTAGGACCCCCCCTCTTTTCACCGACACCCTCCACGACGCCCCCAAGAGGCCCTCCGATGCTCGCAGGAGAGCCCCAAGCCAGCCACAAGAAGGTTCCAAGAGGGTCCAAAGAGGGGCCCCAACAGGGCCCCAAGACGCCCCAAAAGATCCCCAAGGGGACCCTAAGACCCCCAAAGAGCCCCAAGAGGGCCCCAAGATGCCCCAAAGGAGCCCCAGAGGACCCCAAGACGCCCCCCGAAAGCCTCATAGTTCCAAGACGGTCTCCGATGCTCCAAGAAAGCCTCCTGCATGGCTCAACATGTTCCCCCTTCTCTGCTTGACCGCTCTGTTTCACTATATGCGTCTCTGCGTTCTTTTCCCCGTCAGCTCTTGTGGGCAGGGTTTCTGAATGGGATGGCGGGGACTCGCGAAGCGTAAGCAATTTTCAGGACGTTTGCGAGTAGGAATTGTGCGAGAAGTGTGACGCGCTGGGGACTTGTGCGATGATTAATGGCCGTCGTCGCGAGAAGACACGAAACGCTTCCCTGTCAGGCCCCATGACAGTGAAGTGCTCTGGGCCTGTTGAGGAGTTCCAAGGGGACGGGCCCGTCAAAAGAGTACCCTGCCCGACCCCCGCACTGGCGGTAGAAAACGGCTGGAATCATCGAGAAGCAGCTGCAAGTGAACACTCGGTTGGCCCCAGTGCTCCCCGATACCCAAAATGTTACTGGCCACGCAGAGAATCGCATTCCGATCGCATTCAGGCTCAATAGTACGTGCCGAGTTGGATCACAATCTGACCGCGGATGAGGAGGAAGACAACCTAAGTGCTACATGCACGGGTACTTGCCTGGGCCGTGGAGAGCCACACAGCCCAACCCATGCTCGGACGCTTCAAATTCCTTCTCGGCCTGCCCTACTGCGAATTGATGCGGATGAAGCCCTACGAGGATCTCCGCTGACCCTCGAGGGAGGTGGGGGTGATGAGAGGGCCGGAGATAGAGAGGACTGGTGGGGCGCAGTAGAGGAATGCGCAACGAACCCCTGTTGCACTCCACACTTGTCGATCCGTGTTCAGCCCACATCGCCAATTCATCTTGGACTTGACGTGTATTCGGTGCACCTTGGATTCGCCACCGACAACTGAGTAGATGGACGCGGGAGATCTCCATAGGGTCGGATACAGAATTCGTCTGCGCAGCGAGTCTGCACACGACCATCACGTGCAGCCCAGGACTTGCCCTGGGTGAATCGAATGGGCTCTGCAGCGCGCACTGCCAGGGCCGCCAAGACAAGACAGTGCCAAAGGGGATCACCAATAGTGTGTTCGCCACATCCTCCTGAGCCAGGGCTCCCCCCCACCCCCCATAACAGGCGACCGAACAATGACATGAACATAAAAACTCGGAAGTCCGCGCAGATTTCTCGGATCCGCGCTGGACCCCCCCGAAACCCGCGCGGACCTCTGGCAAACCTCGATCCTCCTTCCTCTTCGGTCCTCGATGCTCAGGAGGGGCGGGCGACCCCCCAGGTGGTGACCTGCCCTGGCTCCCCCTGCTAAGATCGGGGAGACGTGAGACTCGGGTACGGGGAACTCGAGTTGGCATGACGGGGCCATCATAAAAATGACGAGACCAAATCTGAAATTTAAAGCGACCTCCCGCTGCAAACATCCAAACTCGAGCTCTGGCTCGATCGAGTCTCACGCCCCCCCGACAAGAGAGCGGCTCAGGCGCCCCGGGAGATCCGAGGGAGCCACCTCTTGCCAGCGAGGCTGCCGGACCGCACGTGGGGCGGCCTGCCCAGGGTGAACCGAATTGGCCCTGCTCGGGAACCAAGAGGTACCAACACCGCCACTGCCCAGACCTCTCCCAGGGCGAGTTCTGACCAGGATCTCGAGGAGAATCCATTCGGGGCGACGGGCCCCCCCCGCCCAAAAAGGCGAACACGAAGCAAAGGAAAGCATATCGGTAATTGTCCGTGTCTTCCTCTCATGGAGGTAGCATGAGAGGCACGAACAAAAACCTTCGACGGTCCACGCGGATTACTTGGATTGGCGCTGGAACCCCTGCGGCGCCGGAGGCGCCGCCGGGGGGGGGGGCCCGCGCCGAGCCAAAGGAATCCGCGCGGACCGCCTAAAGATCATGTTCATTCCGTGGGACGCACAGAGACATACTAATACTATACGTCCGCCTTGGAGGCGCGCGTCCGACCCGAACAAATAGTACACCCATCTTGTAGTATATCGCTTCTCGAGCGGCGTGGCCAGAAAGCGCCCGCCACGACGCATGTACTACAAGATTTCTCGGTGCGCACGTCGCCCCTGGGGGGGCGACGAACACACAATATAAATATAAGGTCGCCCCCCCCCTGTGATCATACGTTTCGTCGTCGTCGTCGTCGCCGTCGCCGTCGTCGTCGTCGTCGTCCTCCTCCTCCTCCTCCTTCTCCTCCTCCTCCTTCTCCTCATCTCGGGGGAGAGGAGTAGGGGGGGAGGAAGTAAGCGGAAAAGACGGAGGAGGGTGTCCGCGGGGGCTAAACGGGAGACCGAAAAACAGGAAAACAAATAAAAATATGGAAAAAACATATGTTTTCACATGGAAAAAAAAAGGAAAAAAACTCTCCCTTCGAGGGCGGGGAGGAGGAAAACAATGAAAACAACACCTCTCCTCCGTCTCCTCGAGAAGAAAAAAAACTTCGCCTCAGAGGGCGGGGAGGGCGGAAAAAGGAAAAAGCCGCCCTGCCCTTGTCTGTTTTCTCCATTTGGGGAGACGGGGGAGGAGGAAGCGGAGGAGTAAACGGAGGAGACGGAGGAAGGTGTTTTTTTGTTGTTCCCTCTCTCCCCGCCCTCGGAGGCGGAGTTGTTTTCCTTTTTTCCCTTTGAAAACAAGTATTTTCATATTGTATTTGTTTTCCTGTTTTTCGCTCCCCCCCTGGGGCGGCGGGGAAACATCAAGAATATATATATATATATATATTATATATATATATATATATGTAAACAACTGTGTTTTCATATTCCGAGGGCGGGAAGGAGGAACACAAGCAAAAAAACACCCTCCTCCGTCCACTCAGCCTACCAAACTCCCCCTTCCTCCCCCCCCCGTCTCCCCAAATGGAGAAAACAGACAAGGGCAGGGCGGCTTTTTCCTTTTTCCACCCTCCCGCCCTCTGAGGCGAAGTTTTTTTTTTTTTCTCGAGGAGACGGAGGAGAGGTGTTTTTTTCATTGCTTTCCTCCTCCCCGCCCTCGAATGGGGAGTTTTTTTGTCTCTCTACATTTGTCCATGTGAAAACACCAGTTTTTCAATATTTTTACCTTTTTCCGGGTTTTTCGCTCTCCTGTTCGGCCTCAAGGGGTGTCCCCGCCGCCCCAGGGGGGGGGGGGGAGAGCGAACGGGAGAGCGAAAAACATGGAAACAAATGGAAAACATAAAAAACTTGTGTCTTCACAGGGGAGAAGATGGAAACAACTCCGCCTCCGAGGGCGGGGAGGAGGAAAATAATGAAAAATCACCCTCCTCCGTCTCATCCGCCTGGCCGACTCCTTGACTCAACGTTCCTGCCCGTTTTCAGCAGAATTCCGTTCCTCTTTCTCTCGTTATCTCTCCTCTCGTCTCCTCCCCCTCTCTCTCTCTCTCTTGACTCTCCTCCTCCCTCTCTTGACTCTCTCTCTCTCTCTCTTTCTTTCTCTCTCTCTCTCTCCTCCTCTCCGCTCCCTTCCTCTCTCTCTCCTCCTCCCTCTCCTCCTTCCTCTGTCTCTCTCCTCTCTCTCTCTCTCTCTTTCTCTCTCTCTTAACACTCTCTCTCTCTCTCTCTCATCCTCCTCCTCTCCTCTCCTCCCATTCAATGTACCCCGCCCCGCCACAAAAGGAATCGACGTGTAAGTCCCTGCCCCCGTGTCCACCTCCGCCTCCTACTCTTCCTCCTCCTCATCGTCTTTCTCCTCCTACTCCACACAAGGAATATATGTGGAGGCCCCTTCCACATAAGGGGTCGAAATGTGAAGGGCCTCCCACATAAGGAATAAAGTTGTACAGGCCCCTTCACATCAGGAACTCATATATGAAGGCCCCTCCCACATAAGGATTCAACATGTTGGAGGCCACTCCACACAATATATCAATATGGAGACCCCTTGCACATGAGGAATCAGTATGCGGCGGTCCCTCCACAGACAAACTCAATATGTGGAGGCCCCTCCACATAACGAATCTATATTCGAAGGCCCATCCACAAAAGAAATCCATGGGGGGACCCTTGGACCTAAGAAATGAATATGTGGAAATCCTTCCACAGACGAAATCAACATGTGGAGGTCCCTTCCACAAGAGGAATCAATATGCGCGGAGCCCCTTGCACAAAAGGAAAAAATAAGGGGGACACCCCCATCCACAAAAGGAAACAAAATCAACTTTCTCCTCCTCGTCTTTTTCCTCCTACTCCTTCTGCTCCTCCTTATCCTCAACCCCTGCGCCAGAGCGGGAGGAGGAGGGGGAGGAGCAGGAGGAGGAGGAGGAAAGGGAAATCACCCGCCGCAAAAGAACTCAATTGGTGGAGGTCCCTCCACACACGGAATCAACATGTGGAGGCCCCTCAACTTAAGGAACCGATACTTTGAAAGCCCATCCACATAAGGAAACAATATGTGCAGACCCCTTCCAACATAAAGAATCAACAATTGGGAGGACCCGACACAAAAAGAAATCAATATGGAGACCCTTTGCACATAGGGAATCAATCTGTGGAGGTCCCTCCACAGACGGAATCAACATGTGGAGGTCCCTTCCACATAAGGAATCAGTATGTGGAGGATCCCCCACAAAAGGAAACAATACAATCTTTCTCCTCCTCATATTTCTCCTCCTACTCCTTCTGATCCTTCTTCTCCTCAGCCCCTGCGCCGGAGTGAGAGAGGAAGGGGGAAGTGGAGCAGAAGGAGGAGGAGGAAAAGGAGATCGCCCGCCACAGAACGAATCAATATGTGGAGGTCCCTCCACAGACGGACTCAATATGTGGAGGCCCCTCCACATAAGGAATCGATACCAAAAGGCCCACCCACATAAGAAATCCATATGTGCAGGCCCTTTTACATAAGGAATCATTATGTGAAGGCCCCTTCCACATAAGGAATGAACAAGTGGGAGGCCCCTCCACATAAGAAATCAAGATGGAGATCCTTGCCCATAAGGAATCAACATGCGGAGGTCCCTCCACAGACGGAATCAACATGTGGAGATCCCTTCCACATAAGGAAACAACATGTGGAGGATCCACCACAAGAGGAATCACGCAGGCCCTTTCCACATAAGGATTCAACGAGTGGGAGGCCCCTCCACACAATATATCATTATGGAGGCCCCTTGCACATAAGGAATCATTATGTGGAGGTCCCTCCACAAATGGAATCAATATGTGGAGGCCCCTACACATAAGGAGTCGATGTTTGAAGGCCCTTGGAACGACGAACACATGCAGGGAAGTCGGATCAGCGATAAACGAGTAGAAGGAACGACAATGATAATGAAGAGTAGGAAGGACAATAAAGAGTAGAAGGAACGAGGGCGGTAAGGAAGCTTGCGAAGGGGAAGAAGATGACGAGGCCCTGCAACGGAGAAGGGTGGGAGGAAGGAGGAGGTTCGAGGGGTTCGAGGGGTGAGGGAGGGGTGAGGAAAAGGAGATGGAACGAATCATAGAAAGAAATGCAGCGGGAAAGAACGACACCGATGCGGACGGAGAGTGGGCAGCATACGAGGGGGAGGGCTGACAAAGAAAGAAGTGGGAAGTATCGAAGACAAGGCGAACGGAGAAGATGGGAAAGGAGAGGAGGGGGAGGAGGAGGAGGAGGAGGAAGAGGAGGAAAGAGATGAGGCACAGGGGGAGGAGGGGGAGGAGGAGGAGGAGGGAGAGGGGCAGGAGGAGAGGGAGGGGAAGGAGGGGGAGAAGGAGGAGGAGGAGGATGAGGAGGAGGAGGAGGAGAAGGAAGACAATAAAGAAAATAATGGATGGAGAAGGAGGAGAAAGGATGTGTGTATGGGGTTGAAGTACAAGGGTACAGAACCCCTGATCCGTTGGTAGAGGGAAGGAGGGATAGATGGATGTCTTTCCCTCCTGCACGATCAAAGGTCTGATCGATCTGTCCCAATACCTGAGCCCGCACGGCCAGGCGCAGGAGAGGTGAGGATAAGGAGTATTTATGAGGGTATTACACGGGTTCCATTCACACCCCCCGTCCCGAATCCCGCCCGTGAGGGTAGGACTCGGGAACAGAGGAAAAGAATCCGTCACCCTTTTACTCCTTCAATCCTCAGGTCTGCAGGCAGCTGAGCGCAAAGTCAGTATAGCCTCAGCTGCAAACTAAGGTGAGAAGGAACACCCTGGGCCCCGATTTCTTCGCCAAGCACGCTTTGGTGCCCCCTTCGGTGCGCCCCCCAAAACGCTTCGGCACTCGAGGGCGGAGAAGAATGAGACACGGGTGGGCGGAGAAAGAGGATCTGAGCAAGTTAAAGCAATTTGTAATCTGCCTCGCCTATGCGAGGCAGGTGTTGCCACCAGCTGCCAGATCATTCTCAACGCAATGGAGTTCGGTTGTAAAGAATATGCCAGCTGAGATCGCGTTGATGAACGCGATCGTGCCACGAAACGCATCTATATATCAAAGCAAATGTCTGGCCAGACGAAAGGTCGTGTTGATGAACACGAAAGTTGCATGTATGTAAATTCTCTATATGGCGACTCCCGTTGGCGTTGCTCCATAGGAGGCCGCCTTGGTTATCGCAAAAGATGTTTGTATGCGTGGC